ATTATTCATGCTAGAAATAAAGTTGCGGACCAAAAGTATAGTTAGTAATTTAGAGTGAATAAATGGCTGGTCTAGTACAAATAGTAATTAGATGTTTGGGCTCGTGTAGTATGGTCAAAAAGCAAAATTGCGGGCGGTCAACCATCTTTGATCCGATTGTGAAAATAATTGTCATGGACATGTATAATTTGAAGACAGACATGTTAACAATACATTTTGGGAAAAAAACAAGATGGTCAAGTTGATTATTTTGAATTCGAACACTAAATAAATCATCAAGGACATGTATCTCAACATAAACAATGTTTGTATCAAATTTGAATAGAAAACGACAAATCCTGTTACAGAAACGAATTTAAAAAAAAAAACACACAAGAAGGATGCCAGTCGGCCATCTTTTGTCTGATTATGAAACAAACTGATATCAACATGTATTTCTATATTTATGATGTATGTGCCAAAAATGAATGAAAATGGTCTAAAAACCTTAGTCTAAAGTCGCCTATCTTTAATCCGATTGTAACACATTTTAGTGGACATGTAATCTAAAACGTACCATTCATGTGAATCTTACTTATACATACTTATAACAAAAACTGGGAAAGGCATACATAAAATACCACATTTTCAAAAAATCAAAGTGGCTGCCAGTCAAATGATTTCAGTTGTGAACGCCTGGTGCAGTACGATATCCGCCATGTTTTTCCATATACGAGATAGAAATGTGTTTTTTGATCTGGTAACTCGTGTGGTTAATTAACCAATCAAAATGTTGTATTGTGCCAACGTGTTCAAATTATAATAGTTCAATTCATTTATATATGTTAATGACAGTTATGCGACACGGAAGAAATTTGCCGATGTTGCAGTACGATCTTTTGGCTTTGATTTTGATGGGAAAACGGCCAGATTTTTTTTTAAATCAAAAAATCAGTTAATTTTCGAATGTTAAACTGAGCATTGAAGAATATTTGTTTATATTTTGTCACCGTGATAACACGCCAGCCACAATAAACCATACTCAGACTCTTGATAGGCGTCAATGACTGCGGGAAAAACATAAACTGAATTAGAATTAAATTTAGAGGTCAGGAAGATTGAAATGTTCGAAAATGACGCCTAAATTAGAGATTTTACTAAAAATGAGTTAACGAGCCCGACAGAGTCGAATGCGAAATCCGTACGAATGTTTACCTCCCATACAATACTTTCTTTTTTTAGGACACAATGTGAAAAACGATTGTCGTGTGCGCATCCATAATATTTGCAGATCTGCATCTTTCTGGAACACAGCTTTGTACAGGACCCGTGAATAAATCCAATGGTTTCCACGTAGTTTGCTGGCAACTAGCAAAAATCGTGACTTCCCAGAAAGTTTTTTGAGTGAATACCCTTATGTTGTCATGGATTAATCAGAAGACATTACGTAACGGCGCTACACTTAAATTGTCAGTCATAGCCGCGTGAGGGCGTTTTTATTTAGAACAATGGCGATTTACGTAGCCTTTGGGGAGGCATGTATTAAAACCCTTCGAATTCGACATGCACACCACAATTTTCAACAACGAAGATATTTTAATTAACAGCACATACACATAATATTAGGCAACTACAAAAAAATGACATTGACCTTCCCTTCTTCCTCCAGTAGGTTGTTTTGAGTTACTAAATACATTCAAACCGTTGTGAATTTTTATTGGGGACATGAATTCATTAATTTACGACGTTTTTAAAATTTCTCGGCGATAGCTACGTGAAATGGAACCAAAAAGATATCGGCAAGATTCAAGGAACGACAGCGACAACCACCAAAACGTAATTGAAGACAAATAAACATGTGAAGCATAAAAACTGACCCATTGTTGACTTTTGAGGGGAATGGAAATGACTCAATTTGTGGGTGTCACAATAAGCGAGGGAGCAAATCGTTTTTATGCTTCGAAAAAGTGAAGACCTTGAACGTACTTTAGTACAACGTAATTTTTTGTTTGAATACCTAACGTTTTTAGGTTTATGTGCTACAAGTTAGCGTGCACATACCTAAGCGGTGTCTCTAAGCAAATAATTTAGCCTAGGCATTTTCCGTGCCAAAATCGCGAAACTATCCGTTTTACGCAGTGTACTAAGTCCGAATTACTGAACAAAGTAGCGGACGATTAAGCTGAAATATATTAAAACCAACACATGCCAAAAATTATATCTCAAAAGTGAATATTCGTGGTGTAATTTAAGTCTAACCGAACCGGAAGTGGGTATTTGTTACTACTATAAATATCCACAAATATTATAGTATAAGATAGTAAATATCCAACTCTAGGTGGCGCTAGACTGCACCTATATATAGAGTTCTCAGGTACACCTGCAATACAATTTAGATCATAGCTAAAGGGACATACAAAAAACAGTGATGACAATTACAAGTAATAATTACTGGCTCATATTGATTGGAACACCTCAATAAAAATGGCCACAGTCTCCATATTTGATGCTAAAATTTGAAAATGTAAAGGCAACAGAGGCAGCCTTAAATTTGTTCAAAAGGGTCTTCTTCTTACATTGTTTAAACACATTAAAATGTTTCTTCACACAAAGACGAATCACCACAGCTAATTAAAAAATCAAAATTACGTTTTCTAATCCATAATGAATCATTGAACAAAACACATAATTTTAACAATTGTATGAATTTACTGGCTTAGTCTTTTCCACGAAACGAAACGAAATGAACCGAAACGAAATAAAACTATATCAAATTTGTTAACGACATCGAAAATCGCCACGTCATGGAAATAAATAAATACGAGTAAACTATAACATGGCATGACTGCCATTTCGATTGACAAAACATGAAAATTATTAAGAGGTAACCAGTAAATTAACTAATTAAATAAGGCATCGCAATAATTAATTAAATACATAAATAAAGTCTGAACCTACTATTTCCAGCTAAACTAAAAATCTATATTGCTTACTTCTAATTAAATCATTGAAATAACGCCATAAACCAAATATTAATAGTGTTTAGAAAACTTAGGTTAGCCATGGACCAATTTATTATTTGCTGATGTATTATAATACATAAATTAAATTTAAATTTTGGAAACGTATTCTGAAAATGTCATCTAATCGACTCGTTTACAAAGCCTATAAAGAGTCTGAAAAAATGGCACAGATAGGAAAACCATGTTTTGCTTTAGCTATTAAGAAATTATTAATTAAACACAATATGCATACTGTTTGGGAGAATTGGTTTATCTCCCAAATTATCGATGAAACAACGTTGTTAATTGGAAAGAAAGAGAGAGATTTTTATTTCAAAAGTTGGAAAGATGCTTTATTTGACGATGTTCGTAGATCCCCAAACAGTAGAAATAAGTTACGAACGTTTCGCCAATTTAAAACAAATATTTTTTACGAGAATTATTTGGATATTGTTCGTGTTCCCCTGTACAGACAAGCTTTAACTAAACTCCGGTGCTCTAATCATAAGTTACACATTAAGACCGGTAGATATTATGGAACTCCAGTGGAAAATAGAACCTGCCAAATATGTATAGATGCTGTTGAAGATGAAACTCATTTTCTGGTAGTTTGTCCAGCATATAACCATATTCGAAAACCGCTTTTTGATCGAATTAACCGCATTGAACCACAATTCGAGTTCCTTTCGCCTATCCGTAAACTTACATATATTTTTTCTCAGGATAACCATGAAATCATCCAAAGTATTGCAAGATTTGTATACACAGCTTTTCAGATTAGATATAATTTGTTAGTGTGAGTTCTCTAATAGGTGAGTTATAATACTTTATTTTATTGAGGCGATTAAAGTCACGCCTGTAACTTTCGCATTGTAACCTGTTCCCCCGGGTTAGTGGGGTATATTTCTTTAGAGAAATGGAAATAAAATAATAATAATAATATAATTGTGTATTACCGGTAGCGTCTTTATCATTTTATTATTTGCATACGTGCATATATTCATTACGATTTTTGATTTATTTACTTGTGTTGACCATAGACCGGAGGGTCTATGTGTTGACTTCTTCTGGAACATTGGCTAATTAGCGAGATGGGAACAGCGCCTCCAACTGCCAGTTCAAAGTATTCTTTCAAAAATGGCTGACCGCTCACCTTTTTGATTTTATGCCCAATTTTTGTTCGTTTGTGACTCATTTTTGGTCCGTTTTTGGCTAGTTTTAAGTTATTTGGGTCGTTTGGCTAGTTTTGGGTCGTTCCATGTTTTGTCAATCGAAATGGCGGTCATGCCATGTTATAGTTACTCGTATTTATTTATTGAGCTGTCATGTTAGTTACTCGTATTTATTGAGCTGCAAACTAAATCTTGTCGAGAAATTTATTTCTATGACGTGGCGATTTTCAATGTCGTTAAAAAATGTTATATAGTTTTATTTCGTTTCATTTCGTGGAAAAGACTAAGCCGAATTTACTAGCTTGCCTGAAAATGTACAACTTTCAAATTTCTTTAAATTGGCCGCTATCAACATCCTTTGTTGTGTGAGCCATCAGTTCTGATGACAGTGCTGGTTATTGACAAGGCATACAAACTACCATTCATTTTTTTACTACGATAAGATGGTGAAATAAGTATAAAAGTTACTCCACAATTGACAAGTAAACCAGAATACAGTGGTAAAACTACGTACATTGCAACACTGAATTGCGTACAGTCGAAAAACAGATTATTCCTTGCAGATTGTGTAAAACACAGAATAGAATTGAAATGAGAGACCAACCATCAACAAGTTTTGAAAAGGATCATTTATTAAAAGTATATCCCAGTAGATCAAATATAAAATACAACATATTCAAATTTAATTAGTTAAACAACACTTCACATCACATGAAAATCTAAAATAATTTTAAGTGCTTTGATTTTGAAAAAAACATCTACCAGTAACATGGCGAATAATTTACATACAATCTTCAAAATTCTTATTACAAATAATTAGCATGTCAATAACTTTGGTTGTTTTCTTGAAAAAAATATGGCAGTCACAGATTGTTTGCAAAATGTTTAACTACTATATGTTAGTTCTGAGTTTTTAAAAATCAAGAAAATCATACAAATGTGTTCACCACTTCACATTGAGTTAAGTATCAACTTAACAGTCTTTCCTGGGGTGAGTGTTGGCTAGTTTTGTTGATGGAGACCTGCCAGGACAGTCTAGAACTCTGAGTCAGTGCATTAGAGCAACGTATCGCAAGAAATGTCACATCATCAATTAACTAGTCTAATTCACGATCAGCCACTGGTGATATCAATCATGTTGTACAACTATTGTGGCAAGCAGATTTCATGCTAAACATTTTATCACTTGTTGAAGCTTTCATTTATACTGTATAAGTAACTAAAGCATGATTGACTATTAAATGTAAATCTTTTAAACTGTTCATACTTTTCAGAATTTACATCATCATAAAGTTTACACATTTGAATTGCAGTCAAGTGCAAGTTTAACAGTAAACTGAGATACTTAGTCAACATTGTTACTCAGCCAAAGACACATTGATGAGAACACTACTCAGAGTCATCATCAAATGACAACAAACTTGAATTTTTCACTTGAGTCATTTTTGTTTTTTTCTTTGTGTCTTCTTTCTCATCTGTTTTCTTTTTCTTGGATGAAGTTCCTCCTAATCCTCCTTCACTGGATTCTCTCTTTTTTGGCTTCTTGTATTTTATCTTGCCATCAATTGTTGTATCTGCAGTGGGGGAAATCAGAAGATGATTTATTGTTTGATGACCTTCTGAGCATAAAGTTAAAAACAGGTATAGAGCCAGTATGCTCTTTAAGCCAATAGGACATTGTGCTGACAAATTGTTATGCACATTTTCTGGCACACTAATGATGCAACAGAAAATGATACAGTGATCTCCAAATCATCTTACTATAGTATATAGTATAGGAATTTGTAGTTTAGTAATATGAAGTTCACATTGTATTGTAAACAAAGAGTATTGTAGGTACATAAAGCAGAAATAAAGAACATTTAGTACAAAGCATCTTCCGGTATGCAAGTCACCATACTCGTCCAACTTGAGGCTAATGCTCAACTAGCTAAAGCCCACCCCCTACTTCTGCCAAAACTTTTATTTTCAAATTTGACCATCAAGTCATGAAACCTTGTCATTGTACATCATTAGGCATTTCTGAATAATTACAGTACTATTGTGAGTATCATCAACATGAATGGGTAAACTATGCTTTGAATATGACCTGTTGATGGGCTGGAAATGGTGTTAGCAGGTACTAGTAAATACTTGTTTCAAACTCACTGGCATGTCACATTGTGACGAACATAATGCTTGACTAAGCACCCACGCTTAAAAAACATGATTTCCGGAGCCGAGTACCTTGGGTGCTAAACTCGATGATGTAAGTTTAGATGAAGAAGTTTGTAATTCACTTTCATTGCCATCCACAGGAATGATGTTTAAATCACAGAAATTAGACTTACAAAAAATGATGCACGACGTATCAACACATTGCGCTATGATTTGTTAATGAAGCTGGGTTCATCACCATACATGTATGGTAACCAACATGTTCCAGTTATCCAGTTGCCATTTCAAATGCAAAGATACATATCTTATGTGAAATTTAGAGTGAATTTGCTGAATAGTGGTATGATCTATTTGTGACTGTTATATTAGGGAGTTAACATTGAGAATTCTACTCACCATCTTTACCAAGATCTGTTAATTTCTTTCCCACAGACTTTGCATAATGCTCTGCTTCCTCCTGCGACAGATCTCCTGACTTGGTAGCCACGACTACAGGTTTCTCTTCATCCTCTTCCGGCCTATCATCATCTTCATCACTGTCAAAACTTTGCATGTGCTTCTGTAGATAGGGAGATATTTTGGATCAATATCTAAATTGAAATAGTATAGTATATATAAGTGCAGCCGAGCATGGTGGGCTGATACTTGCACTCTTTGATATACTGAATTAACATGTGCATCCTGGAAGTACACAATTATTCCTCCAAATTTGTTGCTGACTTTATCATCAAACTAATACAAATGATTTCAACAACTGTATAAAATATAATTATGTAAAACCAAAACTTATAGCTTTTTAAATTTTTCTGTTTCATGAGTTTTAACTCGTACCAGATGTTACCACTTGGGTATCAACAAAGCAAACACTAATGGCATGTTATGCAGCATAATACTACTTAATAGAGTATTGTTCGGTGTGTCATTGTTTCGGTTCTGTAAGTCATTACCATTTGAAAACAAGATGGAAACGAGAAAGACTCAAACTAAGTGTGGATTCACCAATCAATTTTCATTACCAAATAATATGAATAAGTGGACAGCTATGTTTGAAGACATCATCAAATTAGTATACATTGTACATCGCCAATAAAGAATTTATTATAGCAGGGAATTTTAACAGACATGATTTTTCGTTGATCATTTTATAAATTACAGGACACATTCTATCACAAGTAAGACAGATTTGTTGCAATTTAGTCCGACAAATGAAAAATGGGTGTCATTTTAAAAGAATTAGATCAAGTAATAGAAAGCAGAAATACCAGTACATACAATCACAAACCATATTCGATCTCGAACCAGATAATTCGCGACCATGTTTAGCATCGTCAAATAAGTTGATCTTTATAAACAAATGTTTCAGGGAAGCCAGCTGACAAGGGTCTGCCAGCTGAATGTGCATTCAGTAGCCTTTTGTTTTACAAACTTTACAATAATTATGCATTTTATAACACATACGTTGGCTGGTTGAGCCTGGTCATGCAATCGAGCATTTAAATGCCGCTTTTGCAGTTTCTTTGTTGTAACTAACTGTGCGCATGCAGACAGTGGCTTTGTTCCTACCTTAGTATTGACAGTTGGTCCTTCCTTGTAGCCGACACTCTCTTTAAATTTGGACAGGAAAGTCGGCTCGTTTGGCTTGACATATTTTATGTTACGCCTTCCAGCCATTGCATATTCAGGTGGTTGCCTGTGGATGAACGTGAAACCCAGTGTACGAAGCCCTCCAACAAAAGTCGAATAAAAACATGCAACAAACAAACGAACAAACTAATGTACGTTATTTTCAGAACGTTGGTTCGTGGTTCGTGACATATTTTTTTTTTCGCAAAAAATGCAAATACGTTTCTGCACCTAAATGGCAATTGGACGGTTAAGTTTGCATTTAAAAAGTTAGAATATGAGCAAAAATGTGCAAATTACAAGTAATTTGACGTCCATTTCCCAAATCTCGTCAAATCTCGTGACCTCTCGCAAAATCCCGTAAGCGCCAATTTCAAATGTAGAGATTTGTTGACGCCGAAGTACTTTTTGTTTAACTGCAACTTTATTTTAAAATTAATCCCAGAAATGGCATCTACAGGTAACTATTGCTTGGTTTTCTATTGCAACATCACGACAATCAATAAGGACAAGACTATTTTGATTTAGGGACGTGCAGGCAGTTTTATCGGAACTTCTAGACTTTGTGCCAATAAATGGCTCCCAGACGGACGGGCCTCGGCTATGACTACATCGCATCACTACCCCCACTGTTGTTGAGTGACTGTAATCGCCTGACGTACTTCTAAAACCAGGATTGCAGAATTTATTTACACGTTAACTTATAGTCACAGTTTTTTTGTCGCTGGTATGTTGTCTGGTATATCTTACTCAAGTCGTGTATAAAGATCACTCTGTTACTAAACAAATTTACGCAATGACCTTGACCTGTAAGCCGGAATAATCTTTGTTCAAATTCATCTCAAAACTTGATAATTTTTGTTTCTTTTTTTCCACAGATTCAAGCACTTGTACAAGGTGAGTTCGTGGTTCTTCAATATTTAATTTACATCAAAGAACTGTCATTCGAAATGTAATTTCAATAGTTATAGAGGTGTCATCCTACAATGTTTTCTTGTATCTCAGTTCTATCCTAGCCAAGTATGGTTGTATTTGACAGAAAAATAAAAGGATGCATTCTGATTATTGAAAAAACCCTCCAACAGGATTCAATACCACGAAGTTGCTTGTGCATACTGCTAATGGGATGCCATCTTTCCTTTTGTACATCTGGATTCGTGGTTCATAGCCTAGATGTAGACAGAACAGTCAGTTCTCGAGCTGAAATATTTGAATGACTTTTCTTGTTCTCATGTTTATCCCAACAGTTGTAAGTTGTGTTGAAAATGACATGTACATGTGTAATGTATAGTTAGTATATTTCTCGGTGTAAAATATATTATTTAATATATAATTTCAATTACTATAACTTACTAACATGATTTAATTACAGTGAAGGGGACTCAATCAAGGTGTTTGTCAGAGTGCGACCTTCAGATAATGAGCAAGAAAATGAACACACCAAGAATCAATGTCTGGTTGTTAGGCCACCAAATAGTATTGTTGTGTTCAGCAAACCTGAGCCAAAAGTCTTCACATATGATCATGTTGCTGACATACACACAACACAGGTATGTCCAACAACCATACTACAAGTTATTGTTCCTTTTTTAATTACCAGATTTGTCCAGTCAATATAAAATCATTATAGTATGTTTTAAAATTGTTCGTAGCTTACATTGTGCAAATTTTAATTTGCACTTTTGAAAAATTGTTAAAATTTTGATTTGGAAGTAATAGTATTTTTTGAATATTATGGTGCAAGGGTTCATGAGGGCAGAAACAAAACCAACCACTTGGCATAGTGTCAGGTTTGGTCTGCGATAATACCTACATGTATAATGAATTTCTTGTTTTTAACAATTAAGATTCATAATCATTAAAATATTATTTTGACCATAGAAAAACTTCTGAAATTTACGGAAGCACATCTCCTACTAATGGAACAAATATGTTGGTAAATATTCTTCATGGCCATTCTCTGACAATAATTGTTTTGTTTTTAACTCAGGAAGGAGTATTTGGAGCGGTTGGGAAAAAGATTATTGAAAGTTGTGTTGAAGGGTACAATGGCACAATTTTTGCTTAGTAAGTATTTGTCTAGAAACGATAGCTGCTGATTATATATTTGTATTTCAGATTATATCAAATTTTTTTTGGTATAAAAACAGCCAAAAAAAATGTATGTGTCTTTCAAATTGGTAGATTAATACGAGCATTCAAACACAGTAAATGTTAAGAATTTGTATTATTTAGTAAACAGTGTTCTCCACAATCCAAAATAGCTGGTGGGCAACCTAATTAGCATAAATTTGCATATTAATTTGCATGTCATTTATATACAGCATTCTAGCATTTATGTCTAGAACTGCAATACACACTAGGTTATTTACTATTCTCTTTTTAATTTAATTGAAACATGTTACAATTTTTTGAAATACAAACAGATTGGTCACTATCAATATTTACGAAATGCAAAAAGTTTGAAATCGATGTTTTATACGTTCGCAAATTATTCTGCGTTCATGAAATGCATTTCGAGTAACCAAGAGCAAGTACAAAACATAATTGAGTTATAATGTAGAAAATATACAAAGTGATTTGTCCCCGAAGCCAAAACGGACGATTTGTCAAAACAAAACCCATAACATTTTTATTTGTGGCACGCTAACGAAAAAAATCCTTTGTTTTCCACTGACTTCCTGTTCCGGTCAGTCAGTAAGAATCAGTACTCACCCGTGCCGACGGACGGTAAGATGCATTTACGCATGTACGGTCTACAGGCGCCTGTGGTACGGTCACAATACGTTGCGTTTTCATATGTTGTTTTGGAATTCAAGAAAAAATGCTAGCAATCGGCAAATAAAAGAATCTGCTTTGTTCTCGAAAGATTAGACATAAAACATGGATAAATTGAAAAAAGTACGTGGAAAAGATAACTAAAATATTATTCAATTACAAATACTGGCGGTAAACTAATCCGGCAGCCATGTTTGATGTTTATTACCGCTTCCCGAATTCAGTACCTGAACACCCAGAATGCGCTGTTCCCCTATGCCGACGATCGTTGAATGGGGTAGGCCAAAAGGTCACCAGTTTGCCTTCTCCATGCTGTTTTCACGATGAAAATCGAGCGAACGTTGTAAATACGGCTAAAATTTTAATTTTTGTTCGAGTTTACATGCAATCTGCTAATATATTTATTTTCTGTACATATACATTTCGTTCGTATTTAATTTTCTTTCGTGATCGGAAGACGATTATTAAAAATACATCTGTAAATTTAAACCACTGTAGTTGCACATCGTGAGCAATAAGTGGCAACAATGTCGGGCGACAATGAATTCAGGCGATTGACACATTGCCATGAATACACTTGACAAGCCGGTAGGCTGGTTGGCGATCCGCTCCGCTCAGAAACAAGCAATAT